CTCGACGCGACTTCTGGCGTGGAGGACAGGAAGGCGGGTGGGGAGGCAGATATTGCTTGGAGGGAGAGTTCCCCTCCCTACAGGAAGCCGCGACCACGTGTCAAAGCAGGGAAGATGGCCACGGATCCTGTTCGTCACCCGATCCGGCGTTTGCGAACGGAGGCAAAATTTTGCGACCAGAGCTGTTCGTGAACCGAAAAGTTCATGAACAGAAGCGTTCGTGACCCGAGGCACCACTGTATTTCATACCTTTTCAGGTTAATCAGTAAGAATATGTCAATGAAAATAATCAAAGGCCTGCCTTCATTGCTTCAAAGCTAACTGACTTTGCATTCTGCACTTTATATACATTTCCAAGGTTGAGTTTCTGGTGGTGGCTCCTTGGTTGTGAAATATCTTCTCCTTGGGAGTTCAGACTTTGTCTATCCAATTTTTGGAAGGTACTGGTTAGGAAGGAAATAAGTAAGCCTGACTGAAAGCAATGGTTGGGCTTCAGCTGAAAACTTTCTGATTTTACAAACCACAGGCTGTTGCACAATCCTACTTTTGTTTTGTCTTCAGCTCATGTATTCAGGCTTAGAAATAGTTATTTCTTCTTTAGAGTAACTTATTTTTAGTTTGCCATTAACTTCAGAACAGAAAACTGGCTCAGCACTTTGGCTTTGGGATGCCAAATAAAAGCCTTGCTCTTTTCCAGTGTTTGAGTGGGGCTTAAAATAGATTTACTTCTGTTTTAAATATTTAATTTAAATCTGCCGCTGGATTTTATGTAGAAGGCTTATTAATACTCATATTTTAACTGCAATTGTACTGGATATGTTACTTTATATGGCCATGATATTAAACTGTGATTATTCACAGAGAATCATGTACTGGTACTAAAAGAGTTTGCCAGAAATAGCTACATAAATAAAGCATAAAATTTAAAACCTAAGTTTTATATTGTTTTTTTATTGCATTGTTGCCTTTTTACTGTACTGTAATCCAAGAATCACCATAGAAGATAGACAGATAGGATTAAATGAAATAAACTGCCAAGATTAGCAAAAAAAGAAGCATGCTGAGGGACATTTATGAGGATAGATAGATGAACAATGGGCTACAGATAAAATGAGACATGTCTCACTGAAGACATGGACTGGTTGTGCTGCAGGTTGGTTCTTCCTGGTTTGGTTAATGAGATCTATGAAGGCCATCAAGCTGACAGAGGACTAGAACAGGGCTGAAGGTTTAGGAGTGACTCATGAACTGGCAAAGTTAACACATTCCTTTCCACGGCATCTTCTGAATGCAGGCATATCTGTCTGATTCTTAGTTTTCAAGAATGCAATTAACACCATTTGCAGGCATATTTATTTTGTGAATTTCATGTAAATCAAGTTGAAAAGCTAGTGTGTCTGTGTCATATAAAATCAAGATAAAAAAGAAAAGATATTATATGGCTATTGTATATATATATATATATATATATTAGTTCAGTTCACCATTTGCTTAGGTGTTAAGGTACATTTATTATATTTACACTTCACTGGAACTCTACTTCCTCATTTCATGCTTATATGTTGGACTTGACTTCCCCAAAGTTAGAAAGATGGGTAATGTAATAAAAAAATAAAGTTTTATAAGCACACTTTTGGAGTGGGGATAAAAAGAGAGATGAAGCTCAGTCATTTTGCAAGTGTATGTATTCTATCTCAGTTAGTGTCCATGAATAAAGTACTTAGGTCACTAAATAGCACTCTTGCTTCACAGGTTAACATCCTGAACCCAAGATTAGCCTAACATATTAAACTAACCCATCTCACTTTATATACTTTAGTCAATCATGTGAATGTAGGCAATTGAGTTAATTTAGTAAATTGTGGTTTCATTAACCATAGGTATGCTTGTTGTACAAACCTAGTCAATGTTATTTCACGTTTATTTTGAAGACGACTTTCCTACCTGTCTCCCCTTGAAAAGTTTTCGACTACTATTTTCTCCAGCCAGAAGGGGATGGTAGTTCCTATATGTAAGAACAGTACCAAGCTGTGGAAGATTTTGCAAAGCCATCTGCATTACTGATTTACATCAAATCAGGAACAAAAAAGGAAATGCATCCTTAGGTGCTGGGAGCTGATTGGGACTGATTTGCTCACTGATATACAGATGCTGTAATTCCTTAGGCTATCCCCTTTACATCACTGCGGTATAGAGCATAAAGTGCCAGCTATTGAATGAGGTGTTGCATTTATCAATGTTGCTGCAACAATTTGGTAAATTTTTTTTTAAAAGTGCTGGATAAATAAAACTAAATTTGAAACCACTGTTCAACTGATTAAAATGAATGCCAATACAGGTAGTCCTTGAGTTGTGACCATTCGTTTAACGACCATTCGAAGTTACGACAGTGGTGATAAAAGTGATTTACAACTAGTCCTCGCACTTATGACTGTTGCAGAATCCCCATGGTCACATGATCAAAATTTGAGCACCTGGCAGCCAGCATGTATTTACAACAGTTGCAGTGTACCAGGGTCACATGATCACCATTTGCAACTTTCCCAGGGGGCTTCCAACAAGCATTGTACAATGGGAGAAACCAGATTTGCTTAACAACCACGGCAAACAAGGTCATAAAATCAAGTATGACTCACTTAATGACTGCTTTGCTTAGCGATGGAAGTTCTGGTCCTAATTGTGGTCATAAATCAAGGACTTCCTGTATTAGAAGAATATACAGTAGTTACCTTGAGATCTAGTATCATAATGAAGAACTGTGTAAGTGGCTGTTCTTTGCCTTTTGCAATTATACTCCATCATGTCTCCTTTGCTCTTCAATCATATTGGCATTAGCAACTGGCAATCAAAGTCCATGTAATGCATAGTAAAAATAGGCAGGACTTTAATTGCCTGGTCATGCCAGTGATGTTGACACCATTGATCTCCCACTGCTGATGGAATATATTAGAAAACATTTGTATAACACTTGCTCACACAACTCTAGACAACATACAGTTACTCATATAAAAGAAATATCCATAAGAATGATCCAATATTGAAATAGTATCTGTTGTTGTCCGGATCCAAATCTTCCTTTTTGAATGGCCTATGTCACTGTCTTCAATGCCTCCTGGTCCAGGAAGGGGCATAATTGGCAGATTGACCAAACCTAGCTGTTATCACATAAATGATAAACCAGCTAGCTCAGCAAGTAGGACAAAACCTTCCTCAACAGCAGCTCCCATTTCACTCCTGGTCCAAATCTGCAACTCTTGCTGCTGAAATAGATCTCTGATACCACCATCTCCTCCTGATAAAAACTGTGGAAATCCTAGCAAAATGACTTCTTTGCTCACTGTGAATTAAACATCTCCCTAAGACCTAAATTGTGTAAGATTTATGATTGACTTAATAACAAAAACAAGCTGCAAAATATCTGCAAATCTTTAAATATCTTTAAATACCTAAAATTATTACCTTTTTCCTTATGACAAACTGTATTTGTTTACAGTTCTCAGCATATTATTTGGTTTAACAAACTGATGCAGGTTTCATTCCAGGTGACCTTGGCAAGCAAAGTCTTTTCTAATCTGAAACATAGTCATTTTCCAGGATCAGAACTTTTGCTCCTTCCAGGGACTTATTTTGATGCTTTAACTAACTGGGTTGACCGTCTACCTGTTGAACCTAGCGCCTTGTTCCATACAAGACATGAGGTATGTCTTTCCTACTCAAAGCACTATTCATCCAGTCCTTGTTGTTATGGTTAGCAGAAAGCACATCTTTCATTGAAGAGAAACAGCTTTGAAATCAGTCCCAGAAATGGTCGACTATGACACGTTTAACTTGTGAGTGAACTCTGAGGCTAATTGAACATTGGCTATTTTCATATAGATTTTCATATGAATTTAGTGGGTTCCATAGTCTCTAATGACAGATTTAATTATTATTCAATCTCCTTATTAGCACTTACATTATTGAAGAAGCCACATTTCACAGGTTTTAGACAGGTTTGGGGGCTTAAACAAACAGACTTGAGGAAGTTACATTGAATGTCAGTTCTAAGTAACACAGACCTTAAAGCAGAGATAAATCATGGGCCAGTAGCAATCCCCAGTCTTCATCGTACCTCAGGTTCACCCCACTAATGTTCAGCTGCAATAGCACTGGTATGTTTTGGCCCTTATAAAATTGATAAAATTGATAGGTGCCTTAATCCCAATATTTTAAATGGATTATGCATCTCTTTTGAACTTGTTAATCTCCTCCTAAAAAGCCAACCAAAAACCTAGACCAGTGTTTGTCAACCTCGGCAACTTGAAGATATGCAGACCAACTCCCAGAATTCCCCAGGGCTAGCTGGGGAATTCTGGGAGTTGAAGTCCATACATCTTCAAGCTTATCCATACCAAATATATACTTAGGTTCTGTTCCACTCTCTTGCTTTTCACTCTTTTACTACTTTGAGAGCTCCCTATCTTATATCCATGGATTCTCTACTCTCTTGCAGCAAAATATAAGAATACAGAATGAGAATATGACTGACTATATTTAAATAAGACGCAATGTCAGCTTTATGGCGATAAATAGAAAATCAAAAGTTTATTTAGGTCACAGGTAGCTGAAAACTTCCAATTAATTTATAGCATGTCAAAATGGCAAGAACTGATAATGTTACAGAAGGTAATTGCAAGAAAATATATTGATCAGCCTTGCTGACACAAACTACCAAAGTAAAAAAAGTTTATTTAGGTCACAGGTAGCTGAAAACTTCCAATAAAAGTTTATTTAGGTCACAGGTAGCTGAAAACTTCCAATAAAAGTTTATTTAGGTCACAGGTAGCTGAAAACTTCCAATTAATTTATAGCATGTCAAAATGGCAAGAACTGATAATGTTACAGAAGGTAATTGCAAGAAAATATATTGATCAGCCTTGCTGACACAAACTACCAAAGTAAATTTAATTTCAATTTATATATTCAACTACAATAGCTTGCAGCAAGCATTTCCCCATAAATAGAAAATCAAAAGTTTATTTAGGTCACAGGTAGCTGAAAACTTCCAATTAATTTATAGCATGTCAAAATGGCAAGAACTGATAATGTTACAGAAGTTAATTGCAAGAAAATATATTGATCAGCCTTGCTGACACAAACTACCAAAGTAAATTTAATTTAAATTTATATATTCAACTACAATAGCTTGCAGCAAGCATTTCCCCATTGCCAAAGCTGGATCAATATTTATGGAAAAAATCATTTGCACATGACAGGAGATAACTTTTGATACAGAAAAACTGTAGATGCCTATTGCCACTGATTTTCTTAATTTATGGAGCATGATGCCAAAACCAACCACCAGAATTGCTAAAGAACTTCATATCTGATGACTGCATGGAAACAAATATTGCCTTTATCTCTTCACACTTTTGTCCTGAATGGCAGAAAGAATATTAAGCCCCCTGATCTCATGTGAACGTACAAACAGGATGCTCCATTGAACCATCTAAATCTTTCCTTGGCCTCACCCAACTGCTCCATTTCTTTGGTGCCTAATAAGCTTCCCTATTCAAAAGCCTCATTCTGTTATACCAATGCCACACATAAATTTCACTAAGCACATACAGAGATCCTCTCAGTTAGTTCCTTCCTAAGCATGGCCTAGAACTAGACCTAAGCATAGACCTTACCCATAAGGTAAGTACCACTAGGTTCAAGGGGACTTAGTTCTTGCTAAGTGTGCTAAGGACAGCAGCCTTAGTCAGCAGGCTCTTCATAGTGTGCATAGCCACTAGCATAGGTCCTTCCTAAATTCAAGTTGCTGAACATATCAGTTGTCTCTGATTCCGAATCTCTCCCTCCTTCCTCATTGTCATCATCTTCATCATCCTCTGCTTCATAATCATCATATTCTTCATCGTGATCTCCAGTATCAACACCTTTGCCAGCTGAAAGATTTTTCCAATAGGCATCATAACCAGAAGCCCCATCAGCTTCTTCGCCTCCTGTCTGACGGCCAAATCTCAGAGACCGAGCTGAAGAAAGAAAGGGAGAAAAACAGAGAAGTTTCCATTTTGCTTATCTACATATCAAGGAAAGTGCAGTAGATATTGGGTATTCCATAGAAAACCACAAAAATTTACCTCATAACACCTTCTATAGAGTATCATGGATGCACCAAAAATTTAGAAGAACTCAGTTAAAGAATTGATGTACAGGTAGTCCTCACTTAATGATGCCACTTGGGCCTAGAAACTCTGTTGTTAAGCAACACGGTCATAAGTTGAAAAAACAAGTGACTGTGCCACTTAGTGACGGCAGTTCCGGCAGTCCTGGTTGCCATCGCTGAGTGAAGACTAAGTGGATCATTAGGCAAGGACCTTACATGACTGTGACTTGCAACTTCCTGCTGGCTTCCCCACTGACTTTGCTTGTTGGAAACCAGCAGGGAAGGTCGTGAATCACGATCACATGACTACAGGGATGCTGCGACAGCTGTAAGTTTGAGGACTGGTTTTAAGTACCACTCGTTCAGCACAGTTGTAAGTTCAAATGGTCGTTGAATGAGTGGTCCTTAAACCAGGACTACCTGTACTGTAATAGAAATAGAAAGGTTTGACAAGATCTTTGCTTAAGACAAAAAGTTTGAAAACTATCTTTTTAAATTCAGAAGAAGCATTCTCAACCAATTGACAGTACATCGTTATTCCCATTCTACTGGATGTGGAAAGTATGAATCTTGGAAGGCAAACTTACTTGACATGCTCAGGTCCTTGGTTTGCTGCGTTTCATGCCCACACTTTGGACATGGAGGCTCTCTTCCCTTTTCTTGTTTGAAAACCTTGCTTCGTGTATGATCATCACAGAAACAAGCCTGCAGGTATAATTTATAAACAATATATATTTACCCTAAAAGAAAACATTGATTAGACGATCTCTCTAAAAGAATATAAATGCAGAAATATGTAAACACAGACAGTATAAAAAATTGAAATGGCAAGAAGCTAGTAAGCTTCTATTCATGTTCTCAAATTTTCAATTATTCCTATCAGTTAAAAAAGGATGGGGGTACTCTGCCCTGTGTGAACAAATATGTTCTTTTACAGGTATCTGACTCTTCCACTCTTCAGCTTCAATGGATGAATCCAGTCTCTAATATTTAGAGAAGGAAAAAAAAAAGTTTCTCTGTCCACTTTCTCTGAACCACACATGTTTTTACAAATCTTTATTCTACCTGCTTTTTTCCCTAAGCTAAAGAGCTCCAAACACCGTTACCTCTTCTCAATGTGCATTATTCCAGTTCCTCAAAGATCTGAATCTCTTAGTTATTAAAAGGTTTGTATATATCCTATATTTTACAGCAAAGGACTTTTCAAGTTGTACAGATACTAAGTCACTAATAATTCCTCTTCTGCCATCATGGAGAAAGCAAAGCAATTCACAGCTGAATATACTGTAGATGCTAATGAAAACATAAATCAGTGGCCACGAGTCCTTTGACCTGGTTCATGCATTATCCAAAGCCATGATTTGCTTAACCAAGGTTTGTTTGTTTAAACAAATTGATATGGCTGCCTAACTATTAGAAGGAACTCTGGGTGGCCAATGAGAGTAAAAAAACAACAACAATACAATTATTTAAAAACCTACTGAAATGAAAAACAGTACTGAGGTCCCAATAAAACTCACATCCATAAATAACCACCCATGCTAGCTCCATTAACATCCTCCAGGTCTTCACTGTTTTCCTGAAGGCCACAGGGCCAGGGCAAGGGCCATCTGCATCTCTGGAGGGAGGCTGTTCCATAAGGCAGGCACCATGACAAAGAAGGCCCACTTCCAAGGCCCTACCAGGTTTCACTGAGAGGACTTGAAGTATGCCAACCCTGCCAGATCTAGTGGACATTGTGGACAGGCAGTGCTACAAGTAACCTGCCTCATACCATGTATGGTTGATAATTAGCACCTGGAAGCCTATTGGGAGCCACGCTACAGTGGTGTTACACAGGCATAGTGTGATGTGCCCAATACTGCCCTTGCTGCTGCAGGGCAGCCCCATGTAGAGTATGCTACAATAGTCCAACTGGAAAGTGACTAAGGCATGAATGACCATGAATAGTGCCTCTCAATCTAGGAAAGGGCACAATTAGCGTATAAGATGTATTTGTGCAAAGTCTCTCCTGGCCATGGCTCTCACCTACTCTTCAAGCAAGAGCCATGAGTCTAGAACCCCCAGATTGTGTACCAACTCTGACTAGGGAGTGTCACCTCAGCCAAAGTTAAAGATAGCAAATCACTATATAATAGGGGTGGGGGGCAAAGACTCCGAGCCACTTAGTCTTGTCAGGGTAGAGCAGGTTCTTCCCCATCCAGACTCATACAACCTCCATGTACTAGGAAAGCACCTTCATAGCAACACTTGGCCAGTCCTGGGCAGAGAAGTGCAACTGAATATCATCAGCATACCCAATGGATGACCTCACCCAGCAGTTTTATGTAGATGTTAAATAGGAGCAGGGAGAGAGTTGAGTCCTGTGGCACCCTATAAAGAGTGAGGTGAGGCCTAGGGCCAGGCTTCTTTTCCCCCTCACCACCAATAACAATAACTCTTCATAAGAGCAAGTTTGGCTTACTATTATTCAAGCTCAAGTGAAGAGAGCAAGAAATTCAGAGTGTAGTCTAGCCTCCTTGAGATGCAACTAGGTTCATACACTGTACTATCTATAGATTTTTATTATTTTTTTTAATCCTAATTAGCTACGTTCATACAATATACCAAGCCATAAATCATGCTACACAAGCTACAAAAGCTAAATTCATACAACCAGCTAAGTGTAAATCAAGCAAACCACATTATTGGTTTAACATAAATCCAGCCACTCTGTAGTTTATGTACTTTGGATGCTTTTATACCAGGCCCCACTATAGCTGAGATGTGAACAAATGGTAGTGGGTCTAAAGTCCTTGATATTATTGTCATAAAGATCCTAGCTGCCATTTGGCCCTTCCCAGTGGCTACATGTTTCTTCCAATAAGAGAGCCCCACTGAATTCTGCTAAATAAGTATAGGGCTGCACTATCGTTGGCACAATTGATCTTTTGAATCAGTAACAAAAGAATAATGACATTCCAGAAGACTAAAAACATACACAGAATAGAGATCAGTGACACCTTTCTCCCATCAAACAATTGCACATATCTAAATACTGATGCCATGTACATTCATTCTGGCACCAATGACAAATGCTGACGCTGCCATGGCATTGCAGCCACAAATGAAGAGAACCACCCTGCAGGAAATCACATCACTTCCCAATAGCTGGCAAATCCCAGAGCAGTATGATTGCCTGAAGACAATGAAATAATTCAGTTACCAAGATTCCCTGAAGGGTAATAGGTGCAAAAAATGAGGAGATACAGCATAATGAGGTATGATTTTGCAATACTGGTAAGAAGCAGACTGGTACAGAAAGTATCCGGGTTGAGATGAAAACATACAATGCTTTGAATGAAAGGAAGCCAGCAGATTGTGGCCAGAACAATGAGTGAGCACAGGCACTGGTGTTTTAGGGTGACTGGAGGGAAAGTTTCAGCATTTTGGAATCACAGCATGGAAGTTACTTTAATCAAAGCACAATAGAAACAGGACACAGACCATTTTTTTAAAAAACCAAAAAGCATTTTTTAATGTATTATGAAAAAGGAATGACGAGAACTGCCAGCAGGTTTAAAGCATGAGAATACTAAATGTGATACATTTACTTGAAAATGTTTTTGCTTGTACCTTACAGCGGAGACATGAATGCTGCCCAAGTCGATTGCAGGAAACACCTAATAGGCAAGATAAAAGGCACAGCTGAATGATGAGATTTTTTGTTGCTTTGCCCTTTTTTCTTTTTCCCTTTTAAATCAAGGTCAACTCTTTAGTTCAATTGATAGCCTTAGGCTCTCCCTCAGAAAAGTACAATGAAACTGAACGCTTAGCCTTAGCCTATGAGAGGAAATGGGGATTTTTAATGAGGCACCTGGAGCAGCTTCATTTTGGCCCCAAATTGCAGGAGTCTTGGTCTAAAACACCCAAACGCACCTGATGGGAGGAGCTGCCCAACAAAGCATAGGCAACATTGCATTGCCCCATCCCCAACTTGTCCAACTTCTAGACATGCTGTTTGTGCAGGGACAAAAAAGAAGCCCTGGACTGAATGACAGGAGATGTGAGGGTGATGGAAAAATTCAGGCAATACTGGACGAGATATACAAAAGGAATGATGGTCATAAACCTGGTGCTTGGGCAAGGAGTGCCCACATACACTACCAGTCACAAGCTGCACTAGTCCTTGCATGTACTGATGTACTGGAAAATCATCTAAATATAGTAAATCCAGGGACACGTCCTGATTCAGGATATTACACACCATTCAGTTCCCAGTGACAATATGCTGGCAACTGAATGTAAGGCTGTAATGGCAGTGATTGATTGATTCTGCATACTTCTCTGATCCCTAAGGACTCCCAGTATACGCCATGAATAAACATCCACAGTACATAATAGTATGTAAACAAAAATAAGTGGAGCAATGAACAAAACAGATGTAACAAAGGTTCAAAAAAGCAGCAAAAACTAAAAACAGAAAAAGAAAAAAATTCGATAGTTTTAAAATAATAATGGAATAGTATAGCAAACTACTCAATTTTTAAACAATGTTAAACTTAGACCACATGGCATTCATAAACCATGGTTTACAAACCACCACAGGTTCACATAATTTGCTAAGCCAAAATGAAATAAACCATTTAATGGCTTAGTACAATTTTTTTATTAGACCCACATGAAGTGGGTACTTGTGCTTGAACATGGCCTCCTAGACAGAAACTACAGCCTTTATAAAAAGGTGACCTACTCTCGCTTTAACCAAAGATTCCAAGACCAGAATCTGCAAATAGAGGCTTGTTATATATACAGTTTTGTTAAGGTTTGGTTGTCAGTTTAAACTTCTTTTTGCAGGTTTTCTTTAAACACTACTTCCCAAACTCGGGTATTGTGTACACAACTTTGTTTCATTTTTGTTTTAATAATGTAGAGCAGTGTTCCTCAACCTTGGCAGCTTGAAGATGTGTGGACTTCAACTCCCAGAACTCCCCAGCCAGCTAGGTTGAGGAACACTGCTCTACATTATTAAAACAAAAATGAAACAAAGTTGTGTACACAATACCCGAGTTTGGGAAGTAGTGTTTAAAGAAAACCTGCAAAAAGAAGTTTAAACTGACAACCAAACCTTAACAA